AACTTTTTTCCTCCGTTTAAATGCTCCCTTGTTCCTTCATCAGACAACAAACAGTTCATTTGTATAGTTCCAGCAAACTTTGCCACTTGTCTCGACTTGGTAACAGCTGGTATACGAGTTGTTGTAAAAGTGGATTACGTGCCACCCGCTGGCACCCTTCGCGATTTGAGACATGTTACCAACACTGCAAAAGAGTGTAATGATAGATCCTGCCAAACAAACCCAGTCTCCTCGATCTCAGAGGTGCACGGCTTTCCTGGGTATGTTGATCGTTGTCGAGCTGGTCAAGAAATTTCCAACACCGGCATTTACGAAACATTAAGATTCACGAAAGCCCCCATATAAATTCAGTTCAGACATTCGCAAAACTACTTTCCCAGTTCCATTTTAATATCGTCATCTTCTCTTGATATTACGAGCAAAAATGTACAATTAATTTTTTGTGTAACCGTGCGTTCTACATGTACCCCACATCTCGTTAAACTTGGTTGTCTTCTAGGTTGTTTCGCGGTGTAGTGTGGTAGAAGTTTATCGACGTTTTCGGGTGGCCTCATAGCCCTGAAGATAGAGGCAGTAAGAACCTCTGAGACGCTGGTAAACATCCACATGACCTCCTGGCGCTACAACCCATAAGACAGCCGTCTTCGTGCACATCGCCGTGCGAACCTCAAATCCTACTGGATTTGATCACATAACAAAATGGCGAAGATTACAAACTTTGAAGCTCTTTCAGATTACGAAATTGAGGTTTCACATTCAATATATGGAAGTGCCTGGCTTCTCTTTAGCAAGTTGTTCGCCATGCAAATCGCCGAGTGTGAAGATCACTCAGGTCGTCCTAAATTATATGGAATCAGAAAGTTCATTACAGTGTTCACAAGAGCCCACCATCGGACCCAATTCTGACACAGAGAAATCCAACCCACATCTTCCCAGAATATTCGTCTTAAGACAAATTTTAACATCCCGCAATCTACGCCTACGACTTCCAAATGACCGCTTCCTTTCAAACTTTACTGCCAAGATCTAATCAGAATACAAACCATTTCCCAACGCTTGCTGTTGGAGGTGTTCACGCCACTCTTTCACACAAAACCACACCCCGCTGTATCAGTTTCATTCCAGAACCTACTACGTCAAACAACAACTGTTTACACTTGCAAATTTAACGATGACACGAAGATGCAGCACGAAAAGCACTTTCGCTGCTCCCCACACTCATGTAATTACTCTTATCGAGTACTTGCAGCCCTTAATTGACCCCTGCTGACCTTCGCCCAAGACGTTAGCGTGTCTCCACGAACACAGGAGCATATGACGAGCCCGCAAGACGCAAGCCAGTGCGACGCGTTGTTACGGTCTGAAGAATCTCTCAAGGGTACAGAAGTGTCTTCGGTATCCCTTGTTGTCGTCTACGACAATGGTTCTCAACTTTCTGATTCTAGATCCAACCAAGAAGTAGCGGCAAAATGTCACACATCGTACGATACAAATGACATCTACAAATATGATTATCAATAGCAGCCCGATCAAGGAACGAGAAGATCAAATAGGCTTTCGGCCCATAGCATATGCATTTGTCTCCTGTATTACGGTCGATGTAAAGTAGGGTCTCTTACCCTGGCAGTAGGACACATTGAACATAGCTGCCGAGCGTCATTCGGGAGGTCCCGGGTTAAAATCTCGGCCTGGCTACCCTGACAGGTTTTTAGTGGTTTCTCTCAGTCCCTCCAGGCAACCGCTGTTATACTTTGAATAAGGCCACAGCCGCTCTTTCCGAATTCTTTCTTATTCCCTGCTACAATCCAATCATTTGACGCTACATAATCTGAGTTACGGATGACAAATTAATTTAAAAATATAAAAGTAAACAGTTGTGGCCTAATTAAAGATACTACTATTCCGGCATTTGCACAGATACAAATACAAATGAACTACCCTTAAAATCATTTAAATAATGGGCGCGCTTGTTTGGATGGGAACAAATATCTGTAACCCCCCCCCCCCCCCGGGGGGGGGGGGGGCCTGATTCGAGTTGTCTGGAAACATTATCTCCTGCGTGCGTGCGTGCGTGCGCACAGGGGCCGCGCAATCCTACACCCGCAGTGCGTCCGTCAATAGCGGAACGTGTGGTGGTCCAGCGTGACCTCGAGATGTGACCTTCTGCAGCGTCTTCCTGCTTTCTCCGTCACGAACAATGTCCTGTTTCCCAACAGTCGCTTATTCTCTTTCATGAAGCTTCTTGTGGCTTTTTCCTTCTTTGCCTGCAGACCTTCTCTGCCGCCTGTTATCATTTTACGACTCAACGCCTGACCCCAGCAAGTGATCCTCTTTCTTCAACTGCAGTTCCAAAAAGTCTCACTGTTAATGCCGACGATTACGTTAAAGGGGAAATATGAGAGTTCCCTCTGCGTCTATACCCACACGCGACTGCCTTGAGATCCACTCGATGTACACCAGGGGGTTTAAGACCTTTTCACTGGGGTTAAATTCATTGTTATCGATTCCAAGACCTAAACTCATTCCAGTTTATTAAAACTGGAACGAACTTACTAACGCAAATAACTGCAAATTTTACTTATTTTTATTAAATGAATATGTCGATGTTATTTAAAATAATTATTAACTTAATATTAAATAATTCATTTAAGCGGTAATTTCGTTTTTCATTATACGGTGTAATGCGATATTACAAAAAGTACGCGGGCCGCGTAAAACACTATGACGGGCAGCGGGTTATGAACCTGTGTCCAGCACTGACGGTAAATCAATGATTCTCAAGCTTTTTTTAAGTACCTGGGATCACATTCACCCTTTCTTATCAACTCGCGTACCGCCGGGTTGTAAATTACATTTTACTGAATCTTCATGGCAATTTATTCAGTAAAGACGCTTTCACAACTGCATTTCTTTTTATATAAAGCGTCGAATGGGAGGATTAACGGCCGCAATTTTGAAGGAGCCAAATACGAAGCGACAATTAGACAATGAAATACTTTCACACTTTCATCGGAGATTCATTTTAAAAATCTTAAGAATTTTTTTCTCAGTGTAGAGGACGTATGTTTCACAACCATAAAAAAACAACTGGTAAACTATCTTTCAACTGAACTCATCGCCCTGGTGATGGAGGTAGGAAGGACCTCTGGAACGTTGGTAACCTTCTACCAGACTGCACGGGCGCTACAAGCCAGCAGACAGCCATCTTCGTACTCACCGCCGTGAGAACATCAAACCCTACTTAAATACGTGCATGCTCTGGCCCACAAAGTAAGAAAAGCAACTATCAAGCAGAAGATAATGAAGTACTCATACCTGTCTACAGATCGCCATCTACGCCATTTTTAATTGAAAGTGAACGCGCAGACAAAGTTTGTGGGTCATTCTAAATCCAGCGCCTCCACTGCAGTTTTCCCACGGTCCTCTGAATTCGTGTTCTGGCGTGAGAAGAGGAGACGAGCAGAAAACATTTAAAAAGGGCAATGCACGATGAGCCTGCACCAATCCGCCTAAACTCTGTTTAAATTCTGGGTTATTTAATTTCGAAAGGGAAGGATGAGGTTACATGTGTTCAGTCCGACCACGCGCTATCTGAACCCCGAGCAAAACTGCTTTGAGGGTTTTACTAGAGAATCTAGAAGTGAACCAGCTTGCGTATATGGGCTGTGGAGCTTCCAGAAAAGAAGCTGTTAACACGTAATATGGCTTCAGACAGACAATATGATAATAATATAATTAATAATTGTGACAAGATATCCCAAATCTGACTGGTGTTCTGGAGAGAATCTCATTCGACATTCTCATTATACAAATGGGGGTAGCCGAAAATATAAAAAAAAACGCGTATTAGGGTCCATGAAAATGTACACTTCCACAAATTCGGTCTTTATTTAATGTTTTAATGAAACCCTACTTCAAAATCGCAGCCGGCTAATTTCGCAGACCCCTAACAAACATCAAAAGTTAGCAGGAGAAGCAACAGTGACGCAGGTTGGTGTAGGCGAAGAAGGATGCACTTTGTGGCGTACCCCTGCAAGTGTCCGCCAGACAGCTGCAGAGTGCGCCTGACAGCTGCTGACATGACTAACTTCCGGTAGCAAGACGGATTTTAAAAACACTACGAATTACAACTTTACTGGTGTCAGTTTTGTTAACTGCGGTATTTGGTTTTATCCATCCGCAGTTTTATCTGTATACATACGGGGCAGATAGGCAGCAGCTTCCACGCTAAAGATAATTTGTCGGCAGAATCCAAATATGGGTTCAGATCGGACAACAAAAGTTAGCACTTTACATGAAGGTCATGCAACGACGCTGTTTCAACCAGAAATGTAAAAGTATAGAAAGAGATTATGAATGGTGAGCGAGGAAGAAACAGACATCTTTCAAGGTATTAACACGACAGTCGTATACAGAGACCAAAGGAAACGTGAGAAACCTCAGTCAGAAGTCCGGTTTCCCGGTGAAGCAAACTTTGACAGGCAGGAAGACGAGCAGCTGGCAGTTCGCGTGACCCACCATTTGGCTTCGTGCCTGAGATACTGGTGAACCAACAGTTGCTTAAGTTCCTATGCACGTAGTGGTGTGTTAAAACACATTTGGTTTCCATGGCGACCAACCAAACGCAGCCTCTGTATCTCGCTTCCTTAGCACAATACAATGTGGTGTTTGGCACGGAATGAGTTACAATATCCATTTTTGAAAGATTTTTTCCCTTTCAAATTAGGCACTTCGAAGATGTCCATTCTGATCAGTTCAGTAAAAAATCTTTACGGAATTAAGCCCGACTTTTCCGTCTGAGCCCACGTTCGTACGCAAATAATGTAAATAACTAGCTGTATTTTTATACACAAGTATTATAAACGTGTCCGGCGGAAATGCAAATATGTATTACCTGTGTGTCTTTTTTAAAAAGCATAAATCTACATATGTTACGCCTGAGGCTGGTCCGACGCTACGTAACGTGAGGTTCCAGGGAGAGGTATGGTCTAGCCACTTACCCATACAGCAAAGCCGCCCCCGCGATGCCGCCGCCACACTGCGCCGTCACAAACATGATCGCCCGGAGGGGAGTGATGTTTCGAGTCACCACCATGGCGACTGTGACGGCAGGGTTCACGTGGGCACCTGCGCAGAAAGCGGTGCTTAAACACACACCAAATTAACACTGTCCATGCTACGAACGAGAAATGTCGCCTTGAAACGGGTCTTCTTTATCCTACATTACCATCAGGGGGTAAAGGGGGAAATAGAGAAAAATGTTTTACCTATTCCATACGTTTTCCTGTCATCAAGCACAAGAAGAAATTTACTTCTTAGAGAAAAATAAAACATGCATTTTCCGGATTATTTAACGACGCTTTCAACTGATTAGATTACATAGCGCCAAAGGATAGAATGTTTCTGAATAACGAAGTGGAAAGAATTTGGAAGAAGACGGTCGCAGTTTAATTTAAGGTACTATCCCTGAACTGGAAAAACTGAGTAAAATCACGAAACCCTTCAACAGGACTAGCCGGTGTCCGGACCAAGATAAAATACCTCGCTTATTACATTTATTGTGCAATAAAGGTGCATCCAGATTACTTTACTTGTTCGTGCTCCGTCTCGCGTGTCTCCGTAAATGTGGACGGTTACACGAGCGTCGAGCGTTTTGCCACAGCGTCGGTAGAGTAGCTAGCTGTCTGTATACACTGGCAAGTCACCCCAAGTCTCAGCAGGTTACTTCGATGCCATATATTTACAAAATGTAAAATTAAATAAAAAAAATAGCAACCGACCCTACATTTTTTAACCTGGCGTCCGCACTTCATATATGACAGTATAATTTATTACATCTAATACATTAATTTACTGGCAACCAATCTCCGGTAACTCGCCCTGTCGGCTTCGTGTCTTCACATCTGAGACATGGCGTGCGTTGTTACGTCACTAGATCAACACAGATTCCTTCATTCTTGATCGATATTAATAAATATTTCCGATAATTGTCAATTCGGATGGATATTAGGCCCACTCGCCATCATGCCAATCAATCGATACTTAATCGCAATCGACGATGAAAGTATCGAAAAAAGACCGTTTGTGTGAAGATGCTACAATGCATATGAATGGGTTGGCACTCCTGAAGGTCCCAGATTCAAATTGTGGCCCCGGAGCAGGTTATTCCGACCTTTTTTTATTTTCCTCAGCCCCTCCGAATATGACGTAGTAAAGAAACCATGATTCTCTGATATCTCTCTCACAGACGGCCGACCATTTTACACGGGTTAACGTATGCATCAGAAGAAATGTGTACTTTCAAAATAGCAAATAAAAACACATACAAAAAAATGTGTACTCCAATTGGATTACAACTTTCCACTCTTGCTTGAAAGACACGCGTTACCACAATTGGACTTTTATCTCCATTTGTACTTATCTGTTCTGGAGGATGAGTTCAGGTTCTGTATCATTGTTTGTGTTTGGTTTGGATATCACAAGCATTGCCTGTGGGAAGGTTTCATTCGTGGAATATGGAAATGACAAAACTATAATTCCATACAGTGTTTCTTAAGATAAGTCGAAGCGGGCATTTCTTGTTTAACAAGAGGTGGAAATGACTTTTCAGAATTAGTTAGACGCTTTGTCATCAGCAGAAACCCCCAGGGAAAGGATGATCAACACACATTGCAAGGAAAGCTGTTAACAGTGCACATTCGGGAATTCACTCTTACAGAAACCGTCTGGAGGCAAAGGAAGTAGTTTCGTTAAAAAAAAAGCGTTCTGGAACAGAGTTAACGGCTTGTACGCCAGTTTTCAGCCTTTTCTGAAACTTCACGGACACTCTGCACGAAATACACAAGATAACAGGCAAAGTTTATGTCCATAGACTTACATAACCTTTTCCATTCTGAATATGTTGTTAACAAGTCATTTTATGTGCACATTTCCACTTGGGAGACCTAAACATAGATGGGCGAACGATATTAAAATGAATCTTATTAAACAGGGGGTATGAGGATGTAGACCAGATTCATCTGTATAAAGATACGGTTTACAGGCGGGCTACAGTGAATGAACCTTGGAGTTGCGACTATCAGCTTTTGAACAAGGGTTCTGCTCCATGGCGTTAGACGCTAACGCAAGTGGTCTGTCACCCTACTGTATTAGTTTCCCAAAGGATAAGTAACTGCTGTCGCCGTCAGTTGCCTGGAGGAAACCATTGTACTGTGTTCCGTCTTACCGGAGATGTGTCCGAAGCACTGCGTGAGGGTTGCGACAGCGAACCCCGTGGCCAGGGCCGTGGCGAGTGTCACGGACGAAGTGGGTGTCGTCGTCGTCGAGAGCAGCGAGCTGGGAGTCCCCCCGGCCCCCGATGCGGCGCCACAAACGATGAAGACGTAGAAGAACGCGGCTAGGCATTCCGAAATGATAGACCTCCAAAACTCGAGGGTCCGCACTTCGACTTGCATTGATGGGTGGGTTGGCGTCGATGCTGACGGCGAAACGCACGTGGCGTCACGACGAACTGCGTCAAGCTTTTCGAACAGCGTCACCAAATGGTATTCCACATTTTGGTGGTCTTGAGTCAGAGACAGGCTTCCTATTGCCATGGTGACCAACAAGCTATCGCACTTCAATTTTTTTCGTTGTGAAATGCCGTATGTAATAACAGTCTTGTAGACGGTCCTTTCAACAAATGTTTTCTTTAAAGTCTTAGCATATTTAGAAAATATCTTTTGCGCCCTATATTTTTAAACACGAGTTATCACAGAATAAGCAAAATTGTCACATCTACGCGATCTTTCAGTTGAAAGCAAAAGGGCAACAGCAGAATAAGAATTTGAACAAAATGTTTATTAGTTCAATAGAATTACAATGAAGTTCGGTTTCACTGACGACTCCTTTCACGTACCCTATCAGCTACACAACGTGGCTACATAGGACTCACATCCACCACAACCTTCTCTCCCCGACGTCAGACGGGCGAGTGACTGCAGCGCAAGTGGGAGAAGTGGATTCAACTGGTTTCATTCGACCAAAGAGCTCGACTGTCATTCAGTCCTGCGAACTGAGCGCCAACATTCCACAGGTCCAGCTGGAGACTCTTTCTCCTAAACTATTTTGTTCAGAGTCGAGTCAAATACCTGATTGTCTCACACGTGTGTCACTATCAACACACCCTGTCGCAAGCATGGTTGAGACTCACATAGCACACGAACGCCGGTTGAACGCACTCCTTCGTAATCGGGAGGTCCTCGGTTATATACGAACGTGGAATATATGGAGTCCATATGAACATTAACGTTGATTAAAGTCAGGCCGGAATGAAGAGCTTTACCCCTCAGGCAATTAAAATAAGCAAAGACACCACCTGCAGGACATGAGAAACTAGATAGATAGATATACATACATACATACACACATACGTACGTGAGCAATTTTAGAGGTACAGGCTTGGATGGGAGGGCAATATTAAAACTAAGCTTGGTACTTCTGGGTTATCGGGACACATCGCTTTAAAAATAGGTTAGGTTAATGTTTGTGGATAAATGGCATATACTTTAAAGTTATTATATTTTATTTCAATAAATGACAACTAACCTAACCTATTTTTAAACTGATGTGTCCTGATAACCCACAAGTACCCAAAGCTTAAAGAAATAGTTTGTGAGGGTATGGACCTATTGGCTCAAGATTGGGACCAATAGATCTCTTGGTTCCATTAAACGCATGAAATGTTTTTTGCTCAGCTGAGCAAGTATCAGCTTCTCACGGAAGACCCAGCTCCATGGGTAATCAGTGATACAATGCTGGATGTATGTAAATTTAGTTATGCAACTTTTACATTCTGAATCTGGAAATCACTGTTAACATATTGGCTGAATTTAAGAAGTGTTTACTTACCATAATTCAGTTTTATATATGCTATGATGCACAGAGAGTAAGATGACATTACACATTTATCAGTCTGGTAACATCAATTCATCACTATATTTGATCACAGACACAAATGGTAACAAACAAAACTGTTTTTATACCTTATGGATAAATCCACACTGTTTATTTAAACACTTTACATTTTTCTAATATGGTTATAGTATTTCACTCTTATACAGATTAGAAATTTGAGTTATTAATTTAATTTCTTCTTCATAATAAACAGCACATAATTTTATAATACATATAAATCAAAAACACTGAAGCAGTGGCAGGAGGTTATTGCATTACTGAACTATTGTAGTACTATGCTCTGCCAAGAGTATCACACTCATGATCAGGAGTACCAACCTGAAACAGTGCTTCTCAAAATCTCACATTTTGTAACATGCCTCAGTATTTCAGGCACACTTTTCATGAATACAATTGAAATTATATAATGTTTTGTACAACTACACTAAACTTATTTTGCTTAATAATTATATTGCATATCTATTGCTTTAAAGAATAGGATAGGAATTTCTTTGTCAAAGTCTGTTACAGGTAAAATGGGCAAAACTACAACAAATAAGGCAAGAGCCATCATGTTAATTTGCTTCAAGGAAGTAATCATCATATAAAAAAAAATCTCAATTTTGTAAATGTAAATAATAAACTCGTGTTTGAACATATTTTGTTGTTTCTTAGGTTAATTCATTATGCTGTATCAATTGCAGAGGTTATTAGCATTTCATGAGACATGGCTGGAAAATTACAAATATTATAAAGACAGTTCTGCTCATATTAACTTCGCTGTGATGTGTCACATCGCTAATTTAATTTAGACATCATGTTTAAAGCATTACCTTAGTTGATATTGAAACAGTAGTTTTAACAAAATACATACACACATCAAAAGCAATGTTCGATTTCTTAACATAATCACTTCATTACTGTTAGGAATTGAGGTAATACATTTATCAAGCACCAAGTAAAATATACAAAATGATTATACTATTCACTGTCTTCATACATCCAAAAAGGTAATTATGCTTTCCTTCTACCACCAAATACCATTTCAACACATTCAATGCCACTAATAAGTAATGTTCCAGAGGGCACATCTTTCCTGCATAAAATTACTGAAACAGTTCTAATGTTTTTTTAAAATAACTACGCATTTTTTGCAAACATATTTTAAAATAAGAAGATGGCTGTCATCTGAGTTGTAGCGATCATCACTCTACAATACCACCACCAACTCCTTTTACAACATTCAATTGAAATGCTCTGTTAACATATCTGAAAAATTAATAGCTGCATTTTCATTATATGTAATGACTTTTCTCTCAACAAAAACACACCAAGCAAAAATTAACTTACACTAAGGAGTGAACCACTGTCAATAAATTTCAAAAATGCTGTTTTGGTTCCTTTTTGAATTTATCCCTTTTCCTTCATACAAAATTGTTCTTTTAATTACCCATCATTATGATACACACACACTTGTACTTAGTGTTCTTTAACACAGTTTATATGTATTATCTCAGGTCAGCATACCTTTACTTATTGCCTTTAAATTAGAGAAATTTTATTTTTCTTAACAAATTTTTGTTTAAGGAACAACTTTCAATGAACACATAAATGTAACACTTGGTTCTTTGATGGTAGACTATCTATATCACAACGAAGAGAATTTTCATATTTCACTATATATCTCATATTATATACATATTTTTTTAATCTCCTGACATTTCACTATTAATACCATACCACATGTAAATTTAACATGAACTCATCACAAATTCTTTCACAATAAATGTTTTGTGACATACCACAAATAAAGTTCATAATATCCAAAGACCTGATAAAAAATACTGTTCCAGACTTTGGCAAATCAAATACTGAGAGGCAGAATACACAATGAAGTATATTATTATTTGCAAATAAACCTTACCCTTTTTTACAAACTCACGCCTCCAAAATAAATAAGTTTATTGATCTTCTTCTTTCTAAGATATTTCCAATTTGTGTGGATCACAAACACAGCTTGTATGCCTGTGTTCCTTTAAATATCAGAGATCATGAAATTTTGCCATCTTAATTAACGTCCCCAACTCAAGCAAACACAGTAACTTCAAGGTTTTATGCAATACTACACAGTATTTTTAAAAGCAATTCTTACTAAAACCAATAACAATGTCTAAGGATGAGAGAGAGCATATGGAGTCACCACAAATCAACTTAGCATACCCTGTGGCAAAATGTAGTCACAGACCACAATAAAAATTAAGTATTAAAAATGTCACTGCAAAAAACAAAACTTCGATGATCATCTGGTCACATTTTGCACTATAAATTTCATATAAGTATGATGCCATGTGTAGCTTGCTTTCTACTTGTACTTCATCACAGAAACTGCAATTTTGCACCACGTGCTACTCCACATCTAAGGGCCTATGGATGTGCACAAAATAGATAACTTATATTGTTTCTTTGCTAATTTTGCATAAAAAAGGACCTAGCCTGGCAAAGGTGACACAACAAATTACATTTGTCCTTGAAAAGGATTACCTCCAACTTAACAAACACAGAGCAGTGTGGTATGAGAGCAACGTAAAATGAATCAGCTTTTTAACAAAGAAACAAAATGACTGATTGCATAGCTTTGTTTACGGAACATGTATGCTGATATTCAGAATAAAACACACTGCAGACCAGAACGGACAGGTAATTATGATATGACAGATGCTGTTCTCTATAAAAATAATTTTATGTTCTCAAAGGATTTATAATATTTCTACAAATGAGAGTACTGACAGCCACTGGCAGATCTACAAAAACCATAAATTATCACTGCAGAAAGTCCTCTTTTATACGAAAACCATATTGTCCATTACAAAGCAGTTTGTTATCTGACTAATTACATGGTTCACATTGTCTGTACACAAAGGTAGGCTGGTTAAATTGAGTACAGGATATCTTGACAAATTTGAGACTAAAATTATACCTTAATAACATAATTTTCTAATGGTTTGTAACATTAAATTCATTATGTGACAATTATGCTGGAAACTGCATGAGGTGGATCTGATAATAGTTGCTTCAAAAGTTGACTTATTTCCTGTCCTTGGATGATTTATTGTTATTCTACTGCAATATATTTTTACTTGCATTTATTTTATAGATAAGTGGTAACAGACAAGATCAAACCCAAAATCCTGTAAATACTAAATTTGTACACTAACCTCTGGACCACCCTGGTGGCCCCTGGTTGTTACACATTTTACTATGGTTATACAGTTTCTTACATAAATATGTAATGAGGCATTCTATCTACCATGTTTATACAGCTGAAAACTTCATGCTCATCACATAGATCACTGATCCTTTGTAACAATATTATTTTAGTCAGAAAAAATGAACCATCTAGTTCAGCGGCCCCTGATCTATTTATGCGAGGTCTCAGAAAATGAGTTTGAATATTTCTAACTGCATACACTACTGTTCCAATTTTGCAATTACATTTTTATGCATGGGGGTACTATTAGGTTCTCAAGGAGGACTTTGTTGCATGGAGGTACACAAATCTAACAAAATATAATACACAAACATATTTCAAAATTTATTAACATAAATGCAGCTAACTTTAATCAATGTGAAAAGACAGGACCACAAAAATATAATAATTTTTGAAAATCCTATGAAAAAGTAAAGCAAACACTTGCCATCTGATCTAAAAATCCTTGGGGCAGTAATGTTAACATTCTCCTTTTCTAATTTAAAACAACAGAACAATTACCAAAAAACCACCTTTCATTAAAAGGACTTAAAAGCCACAAAAAATAATCTGGGGTCTGCACACGAACCTTGGAACACAAGCTATTGGCCACTGCTCCACATAACTAACAAATCACACCTTACCAATAGCACTTCAAACTGTGAATGTGTAATACATGCTTTTAATGTAGTTAAAATCCATTTAAACTGACACAAATATGCACTTTTTTACTCTGATAATATTTCCAACACAGTGCATACTAATCAGTTTACCCCATAAAAGGAAGAAACAGTTGGCACTATTTTACTGGCCTGCACCAAGATACTGTTCTTTGAAGAGACACATGTATTTTTCAGCAATACTCAACACTGCCCATTTCCCTACGTCACACAAATGCAACTGATTTTTATTATATGCACCTGTATCTGTGCATACCAAACTTCCTTACCCTCTGACCTGTCTGGTAATCATATTCAAACTGAAATGTGTTTGTGTACTGTACGTTAGTCAAGGAAAATGTCAGGAAACACTTTCATCACAGAAAAGTCCACTAGACTCGTCAAACAACAAAAACTGGGGTGGACTTATAACTGTACAAGTTTTTGGGATTTTACCTCTCCCAGTAGCAGATTAATTTACTGTAACTGCCTGGATTTGGAATGTCACCATTTATACAGTTAACCCTTAGTAACAACACAATTCCCTCTTTGAGGTGCTACTATTTGTTTATTGAATAGGTTCAGTCTGTAACACACAAGTTGGTTGTCAGTATTTTTACAACTGGACATTCCAGGCAGTTGTCAGTATAGCCAGTGGAAACAAAATGGCATTGTGTTATACCAAACATGATTGTGATCTTTAATTGTGCATATGTACTGCCACAGATGTCAGTGGATGGTAGCTAGCAGGGGTAACACTGTACTGGCGGCTACCCTTTCAAATGTCTATTCTGTAGCTTTCTTGGGTGCAATGTGATGGAGGAAGTATTTACAGGGGTGCCATATTTGAGTCTGACTACAAATACATAATTAGTTTCTTTCCTTAAGGATGAGAAATTTTACCATATTCTAAAGACACAAAAAAATTTCAACTTACCCAGTATAATTATTATCTTCCAGCAACATAATTCAGTCAGAATCCATTATCTTTGGTTGCTAGTATTGGTAGAAATAATAACAAATACTAATGTTAACTAACAAAATATAACATCATTAACGCTACTCTTGTATTCAGGCCTTGCCTACTTCTTACATAATGCCTACGAAGAATAAACAAAGCCTGAAAGAGCTAGACTGTAAGTGCAATTCTTCAAAATAAAACCCAAGTCAACACTTTCAAGCTGAGATATTACAGCTAGAAACCGAGATTCGGTTGAGGGTCCTATTCACTCCACATCCTCCAATTAATCTCCATAATTTCAGCCCTTAAAAGATGCTCAAAAGCATTTCCGGAAAGTACAAACATTATAGCAAATAAATAACATTATCTAAACTTCTTAATTATGCCAAGTTTATATCACATGTATTTTCTACTATTACAATATTCATAACCAATGAAACATTACAACAATCAATGAGAAATAAGAGTTCCATTTTTATCACTGAAGTGAAATATCTTTAATTTCAATTTAAATTTCACTTCAGTCAGCAACTGTGTGTAAATCAGAGTGTACAAATATTCAAGAATCTGCCTTTGCCATCACTTAATAGAAATGGAACATGGCACATGTGTAAATAAACTTGTTATGCATGTGGTATGCAGAGGTCAAAACTAATTTGCATTTTGTTTGATAAATGGCATCAGTTGAATACTGTAATTTTCAGTCTTGCAGTTACCAAGAAAAGGGACAAAAAGACCACCAAATCAAAAATGAATTACTGAAAGGACACGTAACTTATACAAATATATCATATACAATGAAGACAAAATTACTGCAGATAAAGGGATGAAGGTCTCTAGGCACAAATTCACATTTTGCAAGTTTAAAGAGTCAAAACCAGTAACTGCAGAGAACTAGGCTACTAATTATCTTTAGTCTTGTTTGTAGCTCTTCAAATTCCCATACTTCTGATTGGCTATCGATTGCAAAATTATTAGAAAAAGATTAATTAAAAATATATTTGAAAGATTTCTTAGGACGCATTATCAAAGTGCAAAGAATGTCTTGTTATAAGTTTTGAATTTCTCAGATCTGTTCTAGTTAAATAAAGAATACATGTTAAGTGGCAAACATTTTAAGGTTTCCTTCATGTCAACATACAGCATTACCACTAACAAGCCATTTATGTTATAAGACAGAAATGCAAGTAATTATTTAACAAGGGATAAAAACATTGTATTGTTAATTGCGTATTACATTTTAAATATCTGTCTTTTCAAATTTTGTGCTATAAACCTGCATTCATGAAATTCAATCAAAGAGATGTCATCCTACAGCAGTCGAACATCAGCATCTCAAAGTTATGCTTAAAGATTAATAATACATATATGTCATATCAGACTGGTCTGTGTGTTGAAAATATTACAGTAACATATGCAACAGATACATTTATTGCATCAGCAAATAACCCAAACTGCACAAATCCACCACTCTCACATCTGAACTGTTTGTTTCCATCTCTGTCAATTAAACACCACCTTCCAGGTAAATTCTAGATGACATCTAGTATATATTCTAGGAGTGACTAATGTTATCTTGCTCACAACTATGCTGTGTGTTTATATGACGCCTTCGGCCACATTCGTGTCCTCTACAGTCATGTACATACCTTCCTCCTCGTAGGCACTCTCATGCTTTGCCAAGATTCGAAGCAAAGGGCGCAGCTTCAGCCACCACTGGTTCTTTGGTATTCGATGCCTACGAAATAAAACAGTTGTAACTAAATATTCATTTCAGTTCCAAGTATATTCACCTGATATCAGACCAACTAAGAAAAGAGCTTAAAAACCTCCACTCTCTGAGCCATATCTTGATTAACATCACTGCAAAATTTAATTCAAGTTATAGAATTCTTTGCACAAGCGAATAAAAATAGAATGTGGAGATGATATCTGTACATACAGGAACGTTCATCCAACATACAGACTTTTCTTTGAACAGTCACTTAGAACGTAGGCACCCACCACGCATTAACACAAACAGTCTGTCATGATGAGAAGTGTACAATTCATTTCAATCAATAAATGCACGTTTGTTCTAGTGACCAGTTAGCTGTCAACTCTCTTTGTGTTTCTGTCAAACCAGGGTGAGATGCAGTACTGAACAATATGTTTTTATTGGTAATCTCTGATAATAGTAAACAAAGGCTGATTAAATTTGGTATGAAGGTACAAATGAGATGTTGTCATCTGGGTTTAATTTTGATTCTTATTAGTAAAATTTACTACACGCTTGACTTAAACCAACTGCTCAAAGAGAGTCTGTTAAAACAAGACATACATTATTATGGTACAAAATTTTTATATTAAACATTTTTCAGTATAGTGAATATTTATGACAAGTAATTTCTGAGTATACAATATAACCTGTAGTGTAGATTTTCAACAGCAAATACAGGTAAACCTCGATTTGCGCCGATTCAGAATAATGCTGCTTTTGAAACCAGCAAGTCAAAAAATGAAAAAAAAATATTTTACTATTATTTATAATGTTTTACAAGTTTCTCATACTGATTCTTATACTAAATCATAATTCTTACATCGCTGATTTTGAATAAAAATTATAAATACAGTCACCTCTGCACTCATTGCTAAGTAGTTGGGAGATAATTCCTAAAAATCCACCAACATTGCACAACAGTCACGTGAGCATTGGTCACTCTTCACGGTGAGTCATTTGCGTTCAGCCTCATAAGATAAATAAAGATAGTTCCTGTACCTCCTAAGTGGAGCATAGGGCCCCCTTTCGGAGGTTTCATAGTCTTTAAAGCGTGCATTTAAGAGTAGTGAGTGACTAGCCCACTGACTCTGCACAAATTCTATTCACTGCTGATTTGACTGCCAGAGCCATCTAGCAGTGAAGCAGTGAATCAGGAGAGACTTGGGTGAGAAATGGCCGCTGAATTTTGCTTATGAAACATCTCGTATCATGCTTGCAAGGTTCTTTTTTTACATGTTGTTCGACCACTAATCTGCAGTAGCAACTGTTTTATATTTATAAATTGTAGAAGAGCCACCATGTCTGGTAAGTGAACGTGTTGCTAAAATGTTCTGTAGGTCTATTGCGTTAGAAGATAAGATGGACGTAAATCGTAGAATAGAAGGTGGTGATACCCATCATAATGAGTGCAGAAGTATGAAGTTGCTTCCTTCCACTGACTACCATAATGAAAAATTCATATAAAATAAAACAGTCAATGCAACAGGCTACGAGAGTAAGTGCAACGCAAGTGAGTTATAGCAGAAGTAAACTTTTAGAAAGAATGGAGAAATTACTGTTGCTACGGGTGGATGACATAAATCGAAAAAACATTCCCTTGACTGAAATTGCTATCACGGATATCTTAACGGAACTTAAGTCGTCAATGTTTGGGTGCCGGGAACGCATGTCAGACTTCCCATTAATTTACATTATAAAAAGAGTTTCAATTCACGCCAGTTTGTCCAGGAACGAATCCCTGGCGTAAATCGAGTTTTACCTGTATGTACAAACAATAATATACTTTTACATGCAATAAATCAACACCAATGAGGTATGAAAAATCGCATCTCAAGGCTTACACCTATTGATTTGTTATACCAACACACAACACTTACTCAAAGTCTGTATCAGCTTTCAAAGCTTCAAGAGGAGTTAATCTGTACTGGCGACGAATGACGCCCATCATAACCGCAGACTCAGGAGTATTTATGTATATGCTACCATCCGGCCGACGTTCAGCACGCTTGAGCTGTTCCATCAGCCCTTCAACAGCCTTAGACGCCATCTTGGTTCCCATGTTACGATCAAATGGAGTGGCAGATCCACCTTGCTGCATGTGACCTGAACAAGCAACACCCAACACGCTTATTAATAAACTGCTATATAAGCTTTTATCTTCCTTTCTCCTGTTAAAAATCTAAGGTTAAGTATCAGAAACTATAATTTTTTTCTGTTTACTCATTGCTGTAAAACTTGTTCTCTCACCTAAAAAAGGAACATGGATTGGGGTAGCAATCATGGCCAACACAAAAATTCTATTATGTTTCATATTACTTGTTTTTACAATAGCTTTCAAAAGGATTTTATTTATTATGACAGTGTTTTATTTGCTCTTTGATATTCATTACCCAGGATATTCTGTCGAGTGCTGAAGAGTCCCTTTCCTTCTTCTGTGTAAAGTCGGTAGACAAAGTCTGTGTTGTAGTTATCATTGGCTCTCTCATTCCTGTAAAATCATGACACATACCACTGGTAAGAAATTAAAGCGCTGAAGCTGCCGCAAACCTGGCCAACAAAAATTAATTGTTGTGTCAAGTTCACCATAATTTTGGGCTGAAAATTTTTAACTTAAACAATTTAAAATTTTAAAATATTAACATTAAAAACCTGATTCACTCAACTATACAAAAAACAATTATCATTCACTACAGAATATCAATTTCTGAGTCTGAAAAATACATGTCTAAATAAATGCACTGATGTGCATTGTATTTGCTGTTACCATGGGTATCTGATACACACAATCTGCTTATCACACTTTTGTTGGGAGATGTCATATTTTACAGTAAACTAATTTGTCTTAGAGACCAAATGTTACAGTCAAGTGGTTAGCACTCCAGTTCAAATATCAGCCCATACAAAGGCTAGTCTAATATAACTGGATACAGCCAAACCATGAAGCGGACATGAACATGCCTTGATAGCATTGACCAAGCTTGCCTTTGTCCTTTATTAACGTTTACTGACTGCATCTCATGTCTTACGTGCACTATCAAGCTGATAAATAATTAATTCTAGAGTAAAGTCTGGCAGCAGCTGAACAGTACAAGGATTTAAATTCCCTATTTGTGTATGATAGACAATAATCAGAACGTAATATGCAACATAACACACCTGAGTATGAGTCCTCTCTGAACACCCTCAGCCATCTTTGCTGCCATGTGGTACAGATCTTGTTGCAAATCCTTAATAGAAAATTTCTCTTCAAATATATAAGCTGCATCAGCACCTCCAGCAAGCCCTAAAGAAACATTTCTTCTTACTTTCAAAGAAAAACATAAACTGCAAGATTTCCTGCATGTTTTCACCCAATTTCATGTCAATGCTCAAACTGTCAGTCTACTGGAGATGGATATTTTATTTTATGTTAATTTTTTAATATAAGTCACATGAGATAATTATCATCAAATACTAAAATTACTTCATGAATGTGACTCTTAGTTACCAATTGTAATAGATACACGTGACTGGCTACAACGGACATTATCCAAATAACTTCTGCTACTGGCATTTGTAGAAGTATCACTAGCAGATAACTGAGTCTACTCTTTTAGAATAGTCCGAACTTTTCCAACCTCACTAATATAAAATAACTTACCTGCTACAGTGGCAAGATAACCGCAATATCCACCCATTGTCTCAATTATAAACACTCTCCGCTTTGTACCCTGAGCCGACTGACGGATGCGGTCACAAATCTGTGTAACAGACACAGAAGTGTCATGTTTCAATCAGTATATGATTAACCTCAATCACATTGGGCACTGTCCATTGTATGAGATATAATTTACTATATATGAAGTTTCAGGAGGATTTAAACTCCTGTATTATGGTGCTCTTGGCCAATCCAACGGGCGTTCACTACACTCACTCACTCACAGGCTGACTGCCAGCGACTTACGCTCTCTGCAGGCGGGAAAAAATTCACACATGTGCACGAAGGTCCCCTACACCCCCCACTGGAGGACACCTCCCGTGCTTCATTTGTTTCCATGGGAAAAACTAAGGTCCGATACATTTTGAACAGACCTCGTATATGCCCATATATCAACAACCAATCACTTAAAGATAAGAGTATGGCCAATTCTCAACTTTTTAAATGTCATGTATATTAAATATCCTCAGACAGTGGGCATGTCTGATATAATTGTAATTAATATGTAATAAATCAACTACTGCCATAAATCTTTACAGAAAAGTAACCATACTTATATCATTTATATAATTTCCTGTTTTCAGAATTAACAATTTATTGTAATTCAAAAGCTTCATCGTTCGGCCATATAAAGATCCATACCTCTGTGATTTCATTGAGAGCTGTGTCACAGCCAAGAGAGAAATCTGTTCCGGGCACATTGTTGCTAATTGTCGAAGGGATGACAACAATGGGAATACAAAATTCTGGGTGCTCAGAGCGTGCCTCATACATCTGCAAGGCACCCTGATAAGCCTGAAACATTCACAGCATCTTGTGAGTGATGATACATTTCTTTCAAACTATTGCTAGTGCATCACTAATTCCCATTTATAGATATCTTCACAGACAGTACACAACATTCACTGTAAATGTAATTCTCACATAACATACAGTAAAATTTACTGGTACATAATAACTTTTAACATGTTTGTATTAAAAAGCCCTGCAGTCCTGCCTTTTTGTCTGCTACCAAAATAGACGAAATAAAATGCATCACATCTCAGCACCAACTACAGTCTCTCACATATCAACCAAGAAAGAGAGTATCAATATCTAAACATTGCTCTGGGTTGTTGCGCTGTGTAGTCTGGTAGATTTCCACCATTTCAGAACTCATACTGCCTCTGTCATCAGGGCGATGAATGTCATTGCCCTGATGATGGAGGCAGTATGAGCTCTGAAACGTTGGTGGAAATCTACCAGACTACACAGCGCAACAACCCAGATGACAGAAATCTTCAGACTCACAGCTGTGAAAACTTCAAATCCTACATATCAATATCTAATTGATAGTGACTAGTGGCCAGGCACAGGTAATCAAATGTATAATATATTCACTCATACTAAACCTATTGTTAGAGCACAAAGTGGCCTGGTACTCAGCAGAATGCCAATCAGCGATAATGAAACTGACCTCAAAACCTCCTATGATAAGAAGTCCGTGGACTTTGAATTCTGCAAGTCGAGCTGCCACTTGGGCCATTCGAGCTTTGGGTAAGGTGCGCTTTGTACCTAATATGGCTCCACCCTGTGCTACCCAACCTGTCACATCTGCCCAGCCCATGTTCTGAACCTGAAATGAGATAGTTACACTTTAATTCTGTGGTTTATAAAATTAGGGGAATTAGTAGACAGCAGCAGTGTAGGAAACAGAGAATTATATGCAGTGAAATAAGCTTTAATGCAGGTCACTGCCCATTTTTACATGAAGGAGAAAAAGTGCAAAGCAAAGTAAAGGTGTTCATTGTGCAAAACTCACTAACATATAATATGCCACTGTATCCTTGTATGGGTTACATGTTGTAGCTACAAGTCAGAGCCAAAATGCACACACATACCTGAAGGTTGGCAGAACACCAGTTCATATTAATTGAATTTAAATGGGTGGTACAAGAAATATAGTGAGAGACAGGCAATATTTCATCATACTCTTACCAGGCGAAAATGAGTATAATGAAGAAAGTAATGCAGATACCCAATCAGATAACAAATGTAAGGCTGCCTGAGAAGTATTTAACAAATAAATATCTCACACCAGATACAATTAAGGGTTAAGAAGTGACATAAGTATAGATTGCAAGAGAATCATAAATTTAATACCATTCATAGCAAATTAAATGAGATGGAGTAAGAATAAAATTTACTCCTGGGTTCTTGTAGAGATCGTGACAACTTATCAAATTCCATGAGAAGAGGATATTTATTAAACATGTGAATTAGATCGAGGAAGACCCTACACAATGGAGTTATACCGTACAAATATTTTAAAACAAGAAGGAACAATAGCACTTACATTTCCTGCAAGAAGTCCCTCGATACCATCATGGATGCCCAGAGCTGTATCACCTCGATAGATGCAGTTACGTACAAACGAGCGCACTGCTGCATTCATCCCACATGCTGGTGCACCAATGTGCATTACAGCCAAATTGTAGCCTTCCTGCACAAACAATTATTGCAAAGGTTTTAAACCAAATGCTGAAGATGCAGCTATGATTTAAATATGACATCATATACTGTATTTCCTGTTTACTTCTATTAGTAAACAGTGTTTTGGATCAGTCCAACTGAATATAAAGTTAAACAGTGGCAATTCTGAACTGGTATATGACAGGGACCAGATTCAAATTTTAACCAATCATAACTGATAATCTGAGGTTTCCCTCAGTCTCACTATGTGAATACCAGGACAGTACCTTAAAGAGGTTGTTATCACATCTTTCCAAATTCTTATCTATTCACATATAAATCTTCTTTTTTAATATTGAACAGAATTATCCACTGTAAATTTGTTCCTCTGAACCAAACAGTCAACCCTTCTGCCTTAAAGTTCTTGAATATTTAAAGCAGCGCATTTATCACCAAAGACCTAATTTTTCTTCAAATAAGTGGATTCTACATCCTGCTAATGCACCTTCCCACACAGCATTTCAATAAGTAACTTTTGGCACCACTAAGAAAAAAATACCAGTGTTGGAACATCCATCATACTCCTTGATTTGACATCATGAGACTTTTATGATATTAAAACTAGAGAACTCTTTAAGGTCTTATTTTGAATTTGAATCACTTGGAAACATTCATTACAGAACAATGTAATCACAGTATCAAAGACATTCTGAAAATGACTTTCGGCAATGCTTTCAGACACAGCACGGGTGTTTTAATGTACGTATACTGTCAGAAAGCAAGTACAAAAGCAGTCTGCTTGTCAGAACTTGTATACACAATCTTCTTGGGAGGCAACTTTATGCTGTGGTTTGGCAACATTTAGGAGAATCCATCTTCAAGAAAAAGTAACTGAACAGCAACCTGGTACCAACAGTTATAGAACTATAAGACATTGGAGAAATTTACATTCTGATTGGTGGATATCTGGGCAATGCAAAAGCAGATGTGAAGTGAGGCTTCTTTTCAGGACCAACATGATGTTATAATCCAAGAAAGGGAGCTGGATTAGCTACAAACTGCTACAAAATACCAATGACATTGTAGCATATGTACAACACATTTAAGCGAGTCTACATACAATATTAACAAACAGTAGATTCATTGCCATGCATATAAAAAGATACTTAATACTCTGTCATCTAAGCATTAAAAATAATCTATGAGAACATGCCATCTGAAAATCCCTCTCCTATGAGAATATTAATGTGGACCTTCCTGATGTCAAATCATGAACTTCCATGCTAATAAAAAGGAAAGACAAAGAAAACATGCAAAATCCCATATGAAAGAATGTTGACCTCATTTGAATGGCATTTTAATGAGGAACTGACAACTCAATAAAAGACATGAATGAATGTTGTTCTCAAATTGGAACATGAACAGACAGACAAATGCACATGGCTCCCTTCTATATATGCACCTGGTGCACATTATTCAAATAAATCTCAATAAGAAGACCATATCAATCATGTAGCTGCCTTCTCATGTCATTTCAGAATCACAAAATTAAATTAAAACAAAAGCAGACACTAACATATAGTTTTCACAACAAATCTATGCCATACAACAAAGTACAACAAATGAGTGACCAGTAAACACAGCAGATTTCTAACTTATTTAACACAATGCAAACATCAAACACTGAATCTTACCGAAGACCCCCATAATGTGTCTTGCTATAAAAGGGAATACATAGTTTTAGAATGTATTTAATAAACTGATAAGAACAAACAAGAAGATACTATTCTCAATTGAAGCCAGAGTTTAATGAAGCTAATGTGTTCCTTGATTTTTGCAGCAAAGCTTTACTCTAAATTTACAGTCTCCACACTTGGACTGTAATTGTTAAACTCCCATATAATGTCAATTAGGTTTCAATTTTTAAATACCTAGCCAATTTTCCCAACATTAAATTTTTTCCACTGAAGGTTTTTCTCAGTTCAAAGTTAAACAAATGAGAATGTCATTATATTAGAAGAAAATGATTAAAAATAAAGACACATAAATCAGGTAAAAAATGTTCAGAGATTGTGACCATATACAAACACATCATGTACACAGCTGCTAATTTATAAGACTGACCATTCTACTTGTTAAAGCAGAAAATGTACACAACAGTACATTTCATGCACAATGGTAAACTACTATGATGAAGTCCACTGGATCTGCATTTCTATGCATTTAACCATTACATGTGTTCTGTTGTTCAAGAAACCACAAATAAATAAATATTCGCAGTGTTTGATTGCAATGAGATGCTGTTCAATCCATTTTGTCATATCATTGGCCAACAGGGATCAAAAAGCTGGCCAATGGCTTGGCATTTTCAAAAGAACCTTCAGCTGTAACACAATCTCATAATATTTACCTAAGGGTTCACCTTAAATTGGGTCCTTCACACATGTTTATTTTAAAATTTGCAATTACAAAGTACTTATGCTCTCTGAATACATTATAACAATGCAATCAACTTACCTTACACAACTTCAGAGTAGCAGCAAACGAGAGAAATATTTGCAGAATTAGATTACAAACTGAAGAAATGTAAATTGTACACAAAATCTGGGTCTATTTGGTTTCTGTGCACAGGACAATGATCAGCTTTAGATATATTCAATTTTGAAGAGATAATATGTAATATAATTAATAGATTTTAACGTTTTGCAGTATACCACCAAATGTCTACATGATGCAGCCTGACCATAAATAGTTAACAAGAGTTGGGGGGAGGGGGGGAAGAGGAAGAGACAGAGGTATGATACCATACGGCATACCTGTCAAACACACAACAGCTCCCAAATTTCAGAAAAATCATTTTGTGTGGCTCTTGCAACATAAAAACAATAAATAGATCTATAGAAAATGCTTTTCTCATAAATTTTCTGGAATATAATTTTAATGCAAAACTTCAAAATATTATTTGTGGGCTTTGGATTCTATATGTTATTGCCAGGGTTAAAGAATCTGTTTTAAATGATCAGCAATATAAACAAGTTCCACAATATAAATAATAACCATCACAGTATATTATACAATACGTAATAAGTTTCTACTGACATTTCTTACCTTCCCCAAATACCTCAGCCCAGGCTATGAGGTTAAATTATAAAATTAACCTGGAAGCACATAAAGTGTTTGACAGACAACAAACAAATAATAAGAGTTAATGATGCCTCACAATACAAGACTGTGATACTGAAAATAACTTACAGATGGACGACCCACATCTTCAACTACAGGTTTAGGAGGTTTCAGTCTTGTAAGCATTTTGTAGGTCTCCAAATTACGCACAAAACTCCTGCAAAAGTAGCAAGCAAATTGCCAAATGTGTAAATCATGTTTAGGGAATATTTAACTTGCATACATATCTTTATATGAGATACTCAGTGCCAAAGTGGCTCAACCCACATATGAGATCATGTGGGTTAGGTCATTGCACTATTTAGATGTTAAGAGTAGTGGCCAGTACCATGATAACACTTACTTGCCACGTAGCTGTACAGCATTTTCCCAGTCCTTATCACCCATGGCTTTTGTGACTGCTTTTGTTTTCAATACACACTCCATCAAAGGCAACCGCACAGCCTGATTACCATCTAGTGAAACCACACAGGATTCAGTCTCTGGAGTGGCTTCCATAAGTGCCATCACAGCCTCTGCACCCATCCGACATCCCTACCAAACAAATATATCCACTTTATATCTGTGACAGAGAGTATGGAATGTTTTAAATCATAGTACTAAAATAAACTCAGTTCTTCAGTCAAAATTCCTGGTCTTGTATTCCAGTCTATAGCTGGCAGTACCAATGTTTCTGTGAGGATCTACCACAGGAATTATAGCATAGTGAGTTTAATTAGATGACCATCCAATGTTGTAACCTACTAATGATTTTATTCAATTGAAGTGTTGGGCTTCTAGTCTCCAAAGAGACTAAAAATAAATATGCAAGAGACATACCAAAACTCTGTCAAAAGCTGATGGATTGCCACCTCTTTGGACATGTCCCAGAACTGTTATTCTTGTGTCCTGTTGCAGGTTCTCCACAACCACCTGCCTCACTTTCTCCGCTGTGATAGGTTCCCCATCCCGGTCAATAGCCCCCTCAGCAACAATGATGATATTGAGCCGCTGTCCTGTAGAACGCTCCTGTTTCATCCAGCCATTACAGAGAGGTGGCCAAGAAATACGGTCAGGGAAAGAAAACAAAGCACAATTAAGGATAAAATTTAACAATATGAATACCATAGCTGATAACCAGCCTGAGCACCCAATGTCACTCTCCACAACCAAACCTTCCAAACCAGAACAATATCCAACCTGCTCATATTCTCACTGTTATAAAATTTTATCAGAATAAAAACATCAGTACACAATCTAGAGTAATGTAGAATGTATCCATTTAAGTCTTAATAAGTCAGCTGCTTTATTATTCTCATCCTGCTGGTCAGATGATGGGTTTAGCCCTTGGGAAAATTGCAAAACAACAATAAATTTTACAAATGGTGCTAAAGACTTACTGATACAGGGAATATCTTTGTTGCTATGCACCACACAAAGTTATTCAGACTTTTCTTATGGACGATAAACTCCCCCACACCACCAAGTTCATAAAAACTAGACCAGTAGTTTTGAAACTGAATAATGTAGAGGGATGAACACATTTTACCTCCCTAATGTATATTCATTTTATGCACTTAGTGCAAAGAACACATAAAAAAGTTTCAAATATAAACTATAGGTCTTAGTGAGATACTCAGGCCTACTTTACAATATACAGCAATTTTTTTGTATGATTAACTATTTTTGAGAATTTAATCTTCATGTAAAGAAGGGATCATAGCAGAGTGAAACAGTTCAATGGAATTTGCTTTAATACATTTAATGTAGTTGTTCCAACAGCAAATTTTATTAAAAACTTGCGAGTACTTAAGACACAAGACACAAAGACAATTTTATGCACAAAAACAGAAAATATATTACACACTACATATCAGTTAATTGCATTCCATAATCACAGACCAAACTGAAGTGTTTGAACAGAAATGAGATATAAACAAACAAAAATAACATGTTCAAGAAACTTGGTAAAATTAATGTTGATGTCCCCTTTAAAAATACTTCGCTATTTAAGTCATTGTTCTCTGGCATTAGAAAAATGGCTGGAGAGAGCTGTCTCCATTGGCAACTCAGATTCATGAAAAATAATCTGTTAAAAACATCTTATAGCATCCATATCTATGAAAAATAACTAAAAATACTGAACAGTTATTTGACCATGGAACTGTTAAATTATCAATAACTCCAGCAGGGGGGATTCATTATGTTAGATGAGTTATGTCACATTTCAAAATTATTTACAGGAATTAATTTCAATAAAATCTGCAAAGTGCTAATTAATTCTAGTTATTGTAGTGTGCGTTAACACACACATGGCTTGTTTCAACTAATACACAGAACACATCAGAATAATGTTTCTCTTTTTGTATAGGAACAAAGTTTTATATTCCTAGTCTATGTGCATGTTAACCAGTCTGTGTAAATGAAACGCTCAACTGATACAAAAAAGAAACAACACCCAAAGAATTGTTAAACTGTTAAAAACAAAAGTATTTACACATAAAAGTAAGTAAAAACACAACTTCAGAAGATACTACCCAAAGTTATATGTATGCCCATATGGCTGATAACCAAACAAAGCTACAAGCAATAAAATTGCCAGCACATTTACTGGTTTTCAGTGTCAAGAAAAGTAATGACACAGAATACATGCAACAAAGCATTCACACACACAAAAGAATAAACCTTAATGATTCCAGTGCTCCCAAATAAGACTCATAACAAAATGTACATCCCCAGCTGCCACTATGATCTGTGTTGAATCCAGAAAATGGAAATGAAAACATATTCAACAACATGTAACTTATAAACAAATTAAAGAAAATTGATGCTATTCTAAACATAAAGCCTATGTATAGTGTATTAAACCATATGTTTGAAAATATATGATCAAAACATATATTTTTAAATGTAATTATTTTAGAAAAAATAATACATGAAGCAATCTTAGTCACAGAGCATGAAAGAACACACATTAAAGAACCAGGACTCATGCACTTTCAAAACTTCCTAACATCAAAAACCACAGCCACAAACAAGTCCTTGCAATTTCAATCATAAATGTCGCTCAGAATTACAAAGCACAGAAAATTCAATGTTCTGCACCAGCATCATTCTCACATCTCTTTACACAACACCTGCTTAAACATAGCCAGTGTTTTCAGGAAATGAGTTTAAAATCATCAAACAAACAGGTACAAACAGTATGGCCCAGTATAAATTTGTCCAGTAAACTAGTCCAAAATCTCTGTAAAAAGAAAACTAAGGGCAGTGCTTCAGGTTTTCAGACATCTTCTGAATGAGTCATATAATATATTGTGTAGTATATAAATTACACTGATTTACTGATATGTCATTACAATAAATTTCTTTTAAAAGTTCTTACAGACATAAAAGAGACAAATTTTCAAGCAGTTTCCTTACTCAAATGTTATACACATTAGACTCCCTACCCAAACCGTAATAACAGCAAAACATGCATTTTGCAACTGATTGAAATTTTCAAATGTATATAATTTCTAACTGAAGTGTGTGGCTACTCAATAACAGTAAATAATGGTTCGAAGTTGTGCATTAAAAGAACATTAATATCATAAACAGATGTTCAGATAATTAAGTTGTAAAATATATTCAGACAAAAACATCCTCTTGAATCAATGTAAAGCTGAAGACATTAATACAGGTCTGACATTTCTAGATGGCCACTCCACTATAAAAACATGGATAATATTCAGAATAATGTTCCTCATAGAAAGAATAGAGTTTAAAAATATGTTACAATAGGGGTAACTTAGATCATACAAATATGAAATGGCATCACTGTTATTTCAAAAGAACTTGTAAACACTAACTGCCTCACTAATTAAGGACATGTCTGGAAAGAGAGTGCCTGTAATTAATTCCACTCTATACTGTAAAAGAGTACTAAAATAATTTGTACTTCCAAGAAATAATTATCAATAAAGTTCAGGTTTGACAGAGTCACAACTTACCAATGTGTAGACCCTTATAGACTTGAAAATAAAAAAGAAAGAAATTTCCCAGTGGACATTTCAAGTCATATCTAACACTCATTCATTCCAATCAAGGAGACAAATACTACTGCAAATAAATCACAATGAACATAAATTTGTTTCCAACAAAAACATACCCAGAGCCAAATTGAATTACATAAACTGTGCAAAGCTTCCGCAAATTTTCATCGAGTATGCACTGATTCAGTTACTCTGGAAAATAGATGATGATTTTGTTTCAGATTAGAGTGCTTTTACACGATTCTAACAAACTGGTCAGTATAGACATGTGCATATTTTGAAGAAACTACTGAAACATTACAATTTAATTCACACCGTGATAAACACTAACAACACTTCGCATATTCAAATACAAATTCTCATACCATACACATATGTGAAAACTGGTTACTCATCATAAGCTAGCATATATTTCTAGTGGTTAAAGGAATTATTACCACACACTGGCTAAACTGGATGCAATGTGTGAACATTATAAAATGTATTGATATGATAAACTGCCCACAAACATATCAGTATGAAACATTAATGGCAAATAGTAAAAGAAGGGTAATTTAAAATGGGATTTATTGGTTTCCACAACAATGGACCCAATATGTCGTCATAAATTGAAATAAATTTTGAGACTTTCAGCTTTTTGGAGGACAGAATAAAACTGATTGCAGATCACTATTCTTCACATATGGAATTCATAGAAACATGAGCAAACACATGGTTTGATACACAGAACTGAGTCCAAAGTTCCTTGCCTGCTGCAGCTTCCTGCATAGTTTAGTGGGCCAACCCCTTTCTGGTGGCCATTCAGGAATAAACACATAGTCTGCTTCACTTGTTAATCCAGCAACCAGAGACAAATACCTAAAACCCCAGACACTTCAAATTAAGTAAAACTTTATAAGTATTTTAATTAATATCCAGAAAAAAATGTAATTTAAAGAAAGATGCATTTGTTAGTGTAGAAAAACATGTCAAATCTTCGATGCCAAATTTTAACACAAAACAGTCCTATTTCTTCTATGCATGCTACACAATCATTTGCTGTAAGAAAATGAGTATATTAATAGTCAGTATCTTACAGATAACAAGCATATTCAAAAATATCTTCCTATATACTACCAGATTAATTTGTTTTACATACAGTGTAAAGAAAGTCTCCTGAAATATCAAGATTAAAATAAGCTATGAAATATGTACAGAATGAGGAACTGAGATTGTTTACATAACATCATCAAAATAATCCCGCTTTCAGCTAACTCACAATAAATCTGAAGTTTCATCACTGCACATATGAAAGCCTGACTGCACTCTGTTATGAACCAGCCGAGTACAATCTGCACTATCACTACAGGAATATTTTGATATATATTAATTAATTTAAAACTTACCAGATGCAGATATGGAGACAAGATACATGATACTTCCCTTAAGGCATTTTTAAATACACTTATCATATATCAGACATCAGTGAATACAAATTGTGTTTCTTCAGAATATTTCAGAAATGGTTTCGCAACAATACAGCTATTTAATACAATTTACAGCCATGTTAACTTTTCAGTACGTTACCCAAAATATGCAACAGTCATGCAGAAATTTCTATATGAGAATTAAATTAGAAGTTATAAACAGCGAATTGCTGTGAAAATAAATATAAAATTCTGAAAGGGGGTCTCAAAACATAAACTAGTAAATAAATATATTTCATTTTGCCTTCATAAATTACACATCTTTATGCCTGTATCAGCCACAAAATCCTTTTTGCAGCATCTTCTTGATCTTCATCTTTGATCTCCAGGCTCAAAATTACAAAGTTATCTTTCACAAACTGTCTTCACCCATTCTGTCTATGTGACCTTTCCAACTCTTCCTATATGTAGTAAACCCTCTTCACATACATTAAAAATTGTAAGTTTCTTGCATGTTTCAGTATATTTAGACCCTAAGTTCTCATTACTAGTGCTTCTATTCTTCTGTCTCTATCATCTTATAGTCTAT